AACAATAGCTCTATATTTATTCTAATAAGTCAGAACACTTGAGAACTCTGAACGTATAACTGAAGGATTATAGACGTCTGCAAGAGAATTCCACATATCAAAAGCCTGCTGCAACCTCACAGTATGTAATTCTACCTGTCAAATCAGAATCTACATTTCCACCAAGACTTTTCAAATTCTTTAATACGTATGCTACAGAAATTGCAATATACATGGCTTCAACAGGATTTGCTTCCCTTTGAGGATTTTTTCAACTATGCTACTTAGAACAGCAAGCATCAGGCACACAGACGATTCTCTTTTAAGGCTACAACACATGGAATTCAATGAGATTTGTAGAAATAGGTCTTTACACATGAGGAGGATCACACCTATTCCTCAAAAGTGTTTTGATAACATATACTAATATATATTTAAATAAAGTAATAATAGAGTTGTTTATATATGCATCAAATAATAGTCTATATTAAATTACCTCAGTTAATGTCTTTCTCATAACTTTGTTTCTGACAAGCTCTTCTATTTTGCACACTGTAGATGGGAGAAAACTTTTTCCTAGTGTTCTGTCTGTGATAATAATACTTAAATGACATGAAAGAGCACCATGTATTTGAATATTAGTTTCTTATCTTCTTTGCTTACTTATTCATAATTCTCCATTCGATCTATATGGATACATAACATGGCTCACTATTTTTCTGACTGTATTCCAATCTTGTCAACAATCATTGCTGCACCTTTTCTCTTCATCTTTCTAAATATGTACTTTCCTGAAAAGTTTTAAATTGTAACTATATCTTAACTGCAAATTCAGGGGTTGTATAAGAAATTTCTCTTTCACATTGTGTTATTATAATAAGCTTTTGTCTTGTTGAAGGAGATTCACTTTTTAGCCCTTAATATTGCACAATCTACAGATACTTCATAACCATGAACATGGGAATCATCACATGGGAAGATGAATGAAATGTGCAAATACTATAAATATGAAACTGTGCAATATTATAAATATTATTTGAAAAAAGCAGGTGTCCCATTACACTCACACACAAGATATGGACTGTTAACCATTTCTTGTCATATAGATACTTCCTTGAACCATACTTAAGAAAACAGCATAGAAATAGCATTATTTGTGCTTTGGGAAAAGAGATTTTATGGCACATTCCAATTAAATGTGTAGTCACTGGAGCATTCATTTGACAGATTATAATCTACTATTCATTATAAGTTTAGTTGTTTCAGAGCTATAATCGCAGAAAAGGTTTTAAAGTATTTTCTTTTGTTCTGAAGTGGAAAAGCAATATTTCATTAGTTTCTGTGTAACTTAGCTGAAAAGAGCTGATCAAGAATTATCTGGCCAAACTGAAACAATTCAGAAAGTTTTCAGTTCCGATTAGAAGGAATTAAAATGAAATCTTAATTATACTGATTGTCACAGCTCTCACCAGCTAACTCTTCAGTTAAGATAGCTAAAAAGCTTTTTGATTGCTCATGTACCTTCTATATTCTTTAACATACACAGGCAGCTAATTTGCTGCTGCGTAGTTCTCTGCAAAACTTCAACAAACATGTTTTTCCAAAGCCAAAGATTTGTGTGTGCATACGTATACACACACACATACACACTTGCCATATCTTTTAAGATTGGAGGAGGTGGGAGAAGAAAGAGGGAAACATGTCTAAAGTCACTGGGAGTGGCAGGGAAGTCTCCAAAACCCTGAAGTGAGATATTCTTTCTCAATAATTGTTTTGAACTATAACGATGTAGGTCTTGCATCTCATTCAGACATTGTTCAATTAGAAAGAAGGTTGTTTTCCTTCAACTTTAAGCATCAAGATAGTTCTGCAAGCTACAGTCTGCAACTTTGAAGTGGAAATGAAACTTTGAAATTTGTTTCTAAAACAATGCCTGCAATGAATTATCCCTTTTTAACTTGACTAATTAGCTTTCACTTCCCCTGAGTCCTTCTCTAGTCATTTCTTTTAACTTCAATGTCACCCTTACAGGATGATACAATTGATCCACATACAAACCCATTATCACAAGTAGGCTCATGTTTCAGTGATTATGACAAAGAAAGAGAGGAAGTAAACCACTAACAGCACTGTTAGTTTGACAGGCGTAATAAATGAAAAGAGTCTTAAAAATAAATAATGTATATCTGCCAGCAGATAGCAATCCTAGAATTATTTTAGGTCCATGGCACCATATCTTTAGATGAACATACACTGATTTTACTTTTAAGGACACACATTTGGATCATATACACATTTATTATACATGGCACTGAAAGTGACATAAATATTCTTTTACACTTCAGTTAGAACAGCATTCATGTTGCTCTAGCCTATTTTCTATTATTAACTTTCAAAAAGGTCAGTAATTTCTTTCTTATATATTCATACTGTTTTCTTACCCATGCAGAGCCTTTTCTACAAAGAATACTTCTAATTTACATTTAGGGTTCTCTCTCACAAGTATACATTTTCCTGAGAGCAAGTGACTTAACAGTCCAGAAACCAACTTATATTTTTGTAGCCAATTAATTTAGTTGTTGCAAGGAATTATTCTTTTGTTTTGTCAGTTTAACTTATTTTCTCAACTTAAATGGGCTAAGAAGAGACTTTGGTATAGAGCAATTCATCTCTTCTAATACAAAAATGGAAAAAACATCCACAATAATGATAATTTCAGTCATTAAGTTAGTAGAAACTAGTAAATTACTCATTTCGTCTTTTGTACTCCAACTAGCCACTTTTGAAATCTGTTATTGACTTACAGGATTTATAATTTTAATCATATACTATTATTTCTGGCTTTTTGAGAGAATAACTTAACTTCACATAAGAGGCTTAAGCAACTTTTTAAATGCAAACTGCCCCATGAATCTGGAAAAAGGAGGATGCTTCAGGGTTTCTAACTCCACATGTGCCTAATAGAGAAGGAGACAAATTCATTTCTTCTCATGCATGCAAAGACATTCCTCCCTCTTATGAAATTTTAGGAACAATCTCTCTAGAAAAAAAAAAAAAAAAAAAACTGTTCTCAATAAAATTAGTGAAAAGCAAACGAACATAACACATGAACATGAAATAAAGTTGGCATCCAAAAATGACTTTTTTTCTCCTTTGCAGCTTTCTCTCAGAATTTAGAGCAATGCCTCCCTTCAGCTGAAGATCCTAACATTTAATCTATCACTGTGAGACTATTTCACCTGTACTGAAGCCTACACTGGTCACTTCTTGCTGTTAAAGATGCTAAACTAAGACTGCTGTGTTGTGACAGTGTTTGGGTTCAAACATGTTTAAGTCGTACATCAGGTGCAGTTGTTCTCTAGATTGGAAAGGAATTCATGTCTGGTGTCGAACACTAAGGAGCAAAAGAGTTTGAGTTTCCAAAATGAAACTAGATGCCTTTCTTGGAAGCACATATGATTCAATAATAATAAAAAAGACTGTTAAGCAATTGCAATACAGAAGCTAACTCCTAACTGTAGCTTTTTGCCTCTAGATTTGCCAGAATGTTATTCTGTCGGCAGTGTATTCAGGTACAGAGTTTTTCCCTGCTTGCTTAGACTTCCACTCACTCATGCAGCCTGTTCCCATTAAGCCTCCCCTGCTGTGCTGGTGCAGAAGGTTGCACAGCTCAGGTCTGTGAGATAAAGCCCCATTCTGAATGTGAGCTGCTGTTCCTCAAGTGAGGAAACCTTAGGGAGCTCTATTAGTATAAAAAAAATATTGCCAGGAAATCAGATAATGGGAGAAATAAGAGAAGTCTGGCAAAATAACTATGTGCTAATAGGAGGTGAAAATATAGAAACAGAGCACAGAGACCAATGTTTTAGCAAAAATAATCAGGCGTATAGTAAGGAAGATGGTATGCGAACATGTGGGAGTAAACATGAAAACCAATAAACTGTGTGGGTTTGTTGAAAAAGTCTCTTGTAGATCATGCTGAAAGAATCTAATATCTGACTTGCGCGTAAGTTTGTTTCAGATTTCACTCTAGAAGAGGAACAGCACATACTGAAACTGAATCGAGTTCATCTTAGAATGTGAGAGCATTAGAGGGTTACAATGTAGCGCCATAAAATAGTGACCTTTGGGCATCCACAGGGATTTAAATGCAATGCACTGTAGTACGCTCCAACTATTGCATTAGCCCTGCATGTGTTTCAGAGATCAATACACTATTAAGGGGATACAGAGAAGCAGTAACTAATCTTTTATTTTTTGCATATGTAAATACGCAAAATATCCCCATGAAACCCATATTTACTGCGTGCGCTACCTTCCCTTCGCTGCACAATAATTACCAAATACGGAAAAAATCCCGAAGATTTGGCATGGCTCAGTAGAAATGTCACAAATCTATATTGTTTTAAATTTAGATAGTTTTTAGTTCCAAACTTTTACATGCTGCCATATACAGAAATGACTTTAGTCACCAGGGAAATATAATTGCTTACACTGCACACAGATCACATACATTGTGACAGTGATAAAGAATAGCACATTCAACAGAAACAAAGGCATTTGAAGCTGTTAAAATCTAAACAACATATAAAAACCTCCAACGACAGTGTTTTGATGGCAAATTCTTCATTCTTTTAATTTTTAGAAGCGAATATTTCAAGATATTATCTCAGTAGAACGTCAGTTTCACAAAGCTGTATGTTACTTGGGGAATTTTATATCACTGCATGTAAACAGAAAAATAAACCTTTAGGAGCAGATTTGTTTCATAATTATCTATAAAAGCATTAAATCAAACTATGCTGATCCACTTGGTTTTGTCATAGGTGGAACAGGAACTTAGAGTACACAATACAATTCCAACCAGAAGTAGTAAAATGAGTCACAAAACACATTCAACTAGATCAAGACAAATAAGGAGTTCAACTAAATATAATTGGAATAGTACTGCAAAGTGTTTGTATACTGTTACAGCAACAAAAAAGATCTGTTTTTAGAAAAAAAGGAAGTTATGTACTTACAAAGAAGCCTTCAGAGCAATTGGTTCAAGTAGTTTTTGTTTGTATAGAATGGTCTCATACACCATTTTGTATTATTTCTGGAAAAGGCTGGAAAGCATATAAATTTTTTCAAGACCGCCACTGAGTGCTAGGCAGCATAAATGAAATTACATCTTCACCCTACAGATCAAAATGTAAAGTTCACAGTAAAAATACGGATTGAAGAACAGTAAAGGACTGTAAAAACATCTCTTCATCTTCAAGACAAAAAAGAAAAAGAAAGCACATGAAGGAAGTTTACAAGACTACCACTGACGTTCATTATTTCAATGTTATTTCCCCCTCCTACTGAAAGGAACACTTTATATAGTATATTTATGAACCAATATACATTGCTTTCTTGTCTCAGCTGTTTCAAAAGGAATAATCTGTGAAGTAAGCAAAGAGGAACCCAAATGAGGTTTCTTAATTCCATTTCAAATGTATGGTGAAGGTCTTACTGACTGAAAAGTACTGTAATCTTCAAGTATAGCCCCACAACACTGTAATGAGTTTCACAGTTACTATAGAGTTCTCCTGCACAGTCTCATCGAGAAGTGGGATGCTTAATTACGTTAGAGAAAGAATATACTGTAATAAAACACATATCATGATTCAGCTTGAGCATTCCTTCCTGATATAACATTCATCACTTCCTGATTTAACTCTAGTTTGTAGCTGCACCACACTGAAAGGGTAGCAGCATTTTGTTCTGTTCCAGAAAGTGGATTTGACAAAGATTAGATGTCAAAGCCAATGGAGCAAACCGAAGCCATAAGAACAACTATGGAACACAGCTGTAGAAAACCCAGACATCCTTATAAGAATTTTTCAAATTGACTGCCTATTTTAAAATTAAAATAAACAGTGTACTAAAAGTATTTGTTTGTGCAAACAAGTAAATACACCTCTTACTTAACAGAAAACATAGGAAGGAATGGAGCCAAGTCTTAAATTCTTCTTATTTGTAATTCAATAAAACTAGTGTAGAATAAAATTCAGTCAAATGCTCTCTGCCTAAAATATGATCGGGAAACAAGAAAACACAAAATTCAGTTACTCATATGAGAAAAAAGACTCAGGCATTGAAATAACACTTTCAATTTATCCTTCCTGAAGGAAAATAATATAGAATTATTCTTAATCCTGTAGATAAATTCTAAAAATATGCAGAGAACTGCAATGACTATAACCACAAGAGAGTAAGTGGCTTTGAAATGGAAGAATGAAGGGAATATTAGTCTCAGTTGATTGGTGTTTCTTTCATTTTGATTTTTTTTTTTTTTTTTTTTTTTTGAACTATTATTGACATATGTTCACAAGAATTAACAACCTCCTGAAGAGTGACTGTCAATAACATTAAGGTTCTGGAAATTATTAGGTTAATTCTGCTTGTGGGTCAGTGTCTGTACTGTGCTTGTTTGGGATTGCCTGTGTTATTTATTTATCATCTGGATACATCACTTCCTAGATTGAAGGTGGGTGGAAGTCACAAAAGAAAAAATATTAAGTAAGAAAAATAAATTAAGCCAACTCCCTGTGTTAATAGAGATACCTGTTGATACAGAATTACTAACTGCTAAAGATGACATTCCTTAATCTTAACAGTAAAATAAATAATAATTAGGCTTATGGCTATCCTACTGACACCTACAATTCCTTGTTAGCCCCTGTCAGTTATTCTACAGACACCGAAGATGACAAGATGATAGAGAAGGATCCTAGCAAAGCAAATATAAGAAATTTCTTATACAGGAAAGCAATTATAGTAGTATTTCCCAATTATCCTGAATTCTGCGATAGAGAAAAATTTTTGACAGATGCTATTATCTCCTCCATATTCTTTTCAGTGGTAAATGATCTCTTTGATCATAGTACATAAAAGAGTATCTTACATGTCCAACAACTCTTTTAATTGCAACTAGAATATCACCTACTAGATTGGAAAACCAACCAAGAGTTGTCCCAAAGCAGAGTAATACATTTGAAAAAGATGTGCTCTGAATACATATTTTTTCCGCAACATAAAATGGTAAAATGAATGAGAAACAAATAAATACTTTGAGGAAGTGAACAGCTTTTTTTCTTTTCTTTAACTACAAGCGTGCAAGAAAGCTCTGTGACTATCTGACCTTCCTTAAACACTCGCTAACATGCTAGAAATAATGGGCATGCATTTCTTTTCTCAAAGTAGGAGAAGAACATGAGATATTTGATAAAAACAAATTATCAGTTGCAAATGTGCAGCACATAGCACAACTTCCAATCTGTCAAAGCTCAGATGAGTCATGACACACCAGTCCAAGGACAGAAGCACTGAAGACTAAGACTGCTCTTAAAAAATCATAATCCTGTCTTTCTCCCACTATAACTTAAAGTATTTGCTTTATAAAGCCTGAGAGCTAACAAAACTGTTTTATGATCTTCACACAAAAAAAGACTTACTTTTTAAGTGGGTAGGTATCTCTGAGTTGATAACTTATGTAAAAGACATCCAGCTTCATAAAATTTGGCTTCAGCAACTGTTTCTAAAAACAAAACTCCTGTACCTCTGAGCTTCCACAACTTTCATAAGTCAAGCAAGTAGGGGACAAATTACCCCACAGTATGTCTTATTTAATCTGACCTTTTGCATGATTGAGCTTTTTCTACCTGCATTTGGTCTCTTTCTAAAATCTTTGAGTGACCTTTATTTTTTCTGAACTAGATTTTCTTTTCTGGCACCTGTTAAACATTTTATGAAACTACATGAAACAGTGTAGTGATAAGTGCAGAAAGGCAGGTGATGGAAATTTAAATTAACAGCATGAATATAACCCTTGACATTTGACAAAAGATCCATCTACCTTACCTAACTAAGTAAAGAACCATCTCTAGAAATGATTTGTAAACCCAAATAAAAGCTTAAATGAAAATCATTGATTCACATAATTATAGATTTAGGGTATGCTGAAAAAAAAAAAAAAACGAGGGGGGAAAGGGGGGAATTAAAACAGGAGTATGATTGATGCACTGCATCAAAATGTATTCCTTTGAACACAGGAGTGGCTCAGAAACAGACCTAGAAGAAAGTTAAAATGAGTACAGTTCATTATACTAAAAATTTAGAGATTGATTTTTTACTTTCTATTTTATATGGATATGAATATACTATATCTAAATTTCTGTGAAATTCATTTAATTAGATAGGATGCAGGTTTAAGAGACTATATTAACAATATACTATATGCCAGAAAAACTTGCTTATTAAAATCTTTACCTAAGCAGCAAAAGGAGACATCTGCATAAAGTACAATTAACAAATGCACAGTTAGAAGAAAGCCCAGGATGATGTTTTACTGGTTTATAATTGGAAAGATTATTGTGGTGGAGACAATCAAAAAATGAAATGCTCACCCGTATCCCAGGCTCACACTAGAAAATGGAGTCTAACAGAGGTGCAGCCAGGCTCCACCACTTCTGGTGACACAGCTGAATTGCCTTCACCTGTGCTCCACGGCTGACTCAATCCTTGCCTCAGGTGATCAATCAGAGGTTCAGGCCATGACTCAATAGTTCCCATACCCATAAAAACATAAATATCTTCAAGTGAACAGAGAGAATGTCCTGATGATTTTACTACCCTATAATCCTTCTCCCTTAACCTCACAGATCAAGTAGGAAGCCACGCTGCACAAGTGATAGCAGGTTCCCCTGTTAAATGCATAAGCAAACAGCAATTTGTTATGATTACAATTCCAGGGCAGAAGAAATAAGATTTTTTCAGATTGTATTTTACAAGAAAGACCAACTTGCCTGTACGCTCTTCAAAGACAGAATAAACAAATAGAATCTGCTACCTGGTATTTGTAGATAAGAAAAAGCATTTCATTCACTGGGAAAACACTGAATATCTGATTCAGTATAGACAAAGGTTGCATTTAGCTCTTGAGAAATGGTATAATCAGTCTTCATCACAGTCTTCGTCAAATAAACTTAAGAATTTGCATTATAGATCTTTAGAAGTTTCTGCTTCTCTCCAGTAATCCTAAAACCTTTCTTGAGAGCTTCAATTTGCAATTTATGAACAGCACAGATGTCAGACTTACACCGTTAACATACCTACTGAAATCAGAATGGAGTACAGTAGGCCATGTAAAGCATTTTAAAGAAATTTTCCCAGAACCATAAATGGAAATGTTGCGAGGGATTCCTACTTAGTAACATAAAGATTTGTTTCTCTACCAGTTTCTTGAACTCATTATGTCATCTGACTAAACCCCCAAGTACCTAGAAACTGAGGAGGGACAAATTAAGGAGGGTGAAAGCCATCCTCCCTGCTTCATTGGTCAGGAGATTTTGCTCTCCTCTTCAAATGAATGATTCCAATATAAGTGTTACTAACACTAGGAAGGCTCACTTGCCTTCCTTTATACTTCTTGTGAGAGATGAAGGATTAGGCTTTCTAGCTAGTTATACATAACTGTGTATCTGTGAGGCAAAGATTTCTACGTATGATATTCAGCCTGTACCCTCAAATGTTGTTAAATACGTAAGTATTCTGCTAAAGGTTATCTGGGAAGCAGAATAGTACAGAATAATATTTTCTAACAGGAATGTAGTTACAGGGACAGAAAAAGTTTTTAGGTCATTAATACTTATGTATAAAATATTTCTATACCACTTGCTTCCATCTTCCCTGCCTTTTTTTTTTTTAAAAAAAAAATAAGCTCTTAGTTACACACATTCTATTCAATGAAAATTCTCTGGAAAGCACAAATTTATTCTATAGGCACAGTTATTCCAAGATGGAAAACTCTATTTCATCTTCCTCTGAAAACACACAAGAAACGAAGCAGAATAAGAAACACCTATTAAAAAATCATTTGAAGTGAGAAAAGCAGCAGCAGATCTACTAGCTTTGTTAGCTAGATGAATACTAACATCATCTAAAGAAATTAAGAATCCCATAAAAAAGACTTAAAGCCTCAAGGAAAACAATTACCTGCATTATAGTAAATGGAAATTCCGTCAGTCAGTGGCTTGCATTTGGCAGATACAATAAGAGGCAATTTTGGTAACATGCAATTCATTACCATAAGCACACGAGAGAAAACCTTAATCCTCAACCTGATATAATGGAAATTACAGAAGAGATTTATAGCAATCTCAGATTTATAGCAGTCCCAGATGATTAGTCAAGGACTGTGAGAGAGAATAATCTAAGCATTGCATAATCTGCCTTTATAGAGATAGATTTAGGCCCACTCTAGTATAACGAATGGGGACACGCAGTAGTTGACATAATGCCTGAGTACTTCACAAGCTGCTAGATGTTACTAAGCAGTGCCAATTAGTTCATCTTCTAGATCATTTTAGCATAAGGGACTGTATAACTAATGAATATACAGATGTTATAACTAAGAAATACACAAGAGAGTTTGGCTAAGCGGGTTACTACACCAAAAAAATAGGCAGAGAGCTTACTCTTGTCTGGAGCTCGCTGGAAAAATCCAACAGGAAGAATCTCCAGAAAGAAATCTTTCCCTACTGCTAGTCAGCTCTGAAATGGCTCTAGGAGAGGTGGAGCCAGGCTCCACCCCTTCCAGCAGCACAGTTGGATTGCCTTCACTTGTGCTCCTGGGGCTGACTCATTGCTCCCCTCAGGTTCAGGGGGGTTCAGGGTTCAGGCTGTGATTCAGCAGTTCCCATTCAAGAACAAAATAAAATGGCATCCATGTCTGATATTCGGAAGATAATTGGCTAGAGGTTGTGTGCAGGGAAACTAGCAGCGAGAGAAAGCAAAAAAAAAACTTTGCCAAGATTATACAGCTACCTGGGAGTTGGGAGCAGAAGCCAAGTATGATTAAATCCATTGGATCAAGTTGTCTTAGGTCACTTTTCAGTCAATATATGCTTAAAGAACCCAATTTCATAAATGCAGGATTTCTCCCCACCTGTGAAGCTAAGAACAATTTTTGTTGTGCTGAAAAGTTTTGGAAGGTTTTTAGACATCCTCTCTCTTCTCCCAGTGTTTTCTTATAAAGAACACTATAGAAAGAGTCTTTGTGGAACAGCCATCTCTGGCACATACTTTTTCCTCCTTTTCCATGTGTCATTTTATTAAATGGAACTTTCCCTTGCTAAGTGTCTCTTACTGACTGCATCCCAGGGTTGAACACCTAATATTTAATCAAAATGTCTCCCTACTGCCTCTGACCTCTGCTTTGCACCAAGTAGCAAGAAACTCCTACTTCAAGTACCATATCTGAATCACAGAGGTAGGCAGCACAGAAATCATCCACTTGTTGCTGATATGCAACAAGGATATAGACAAAAGGTGTAACGGTTTCCATCTTCTTCACTCTTTGTCCTCTCTACAGTTCTGCTGCTCCCTGGACCTCATTTTATAGGAGGGTGTAAGGAGCAGTCTGCCTCATGTGTCTTTCTGCAAAAAGGAGTTGTGATGGTTACAGCGAGCATCTGGCATCTAGGAAAAAACTAATCTAGGAAAATACTAGGACCTCTAGGAGTAACAGCAGGAATTTAAGAAGCCAGAAGCACTGTGCAAGTCAAGCTGCTAACTGTACATTAGGTATACAAGGGAAATGCCTGCCTGGGCAGGAAGCTTCAATATTAAAAGAGATTGAGTAGGAAATGTATAACCTGATATTGAATTGCTAACTTAAGAGAGGTGATTCTTCTCCTTAGGGCCACATTTCATATCCTTTCTTCCTTCGGAGCAGTATGTTGCTTAATCCAGAACGACTACTTGTAAAGCATAGATCTTTGCAAAATGAACAAGGGTATTACAATCTGACATAAACTATACAACTCTGATCCCATGGGCTAGCTTTTATTGTATATGTACAAAAGGACACAGGACAAATAAAAATGATATCTTTGTTATCATGAGTACAGTCTTAATGATAATCAAGTGGTTTATTGGAGACTGGAAGTATGAAGGTTGTATAATCACATTGTGTTGAGTACAGTTCTCCACACACTGTGGTCAGGTATAGAGTGCTGAATTTAATACCATGCAGAACATTGGATTTAATGCTAAGTAATGACATTGCACATAAAATTTATTGTGCAATTTACAGGTGAACTTTCATGGCATCTTCATTTCTGTCTTTAAAGAAAAAAAAATGTTTTATTACCTTTTATTACTTAAGAAATTGACCTATAATAGCATTAAGCCAAGCAAGGTGCAAACTATTGAACAGATGTAATCAAACCATTTACATCTACATCCCGTAGTCGCTGGACATGAGTTAATATACTGACAGACTTCAAGGCACTATTGCATCATCTAATCTGATTTCCCATATTTCATAGAATCATAGAACGGCTCAAGTTAGAGGGGACCTTAAAGGCAATCTAGTTCCAACTATTAGATCAGGCTGCTCAGGATCTCAACCAACCTGGTGTTGAATGCTTCTGGGGATGGGACATTTACAACACCTATGGGCAACCAGTTCCAGTGCTCCATCACCAAATCATCATCATCAAATGATGCTAAAGAATTTCTTTCTAATACCTAACCTTAATCTCCCCTGTTTTAGTTTAAACTCATTACCCTTTGTCCTATCACCATGAGATACACAAAAAGTCATTCTCCCTCTTGTTTATAAGCTCCCCTCAACAACCAGAAGGTCACACTATTGACTCCACAGAGTCTTCACCTCTTCAAGAGAAACAAGCCTAGCTTCTTCAGCATTTTTTTTATAGGAGAGGTGCTCCAGACCTCTGATCATCTTTGTGGCTCTAACAGCTCCGCATCTTTCCTGTGCTGGGGGCCCCAGGCCTGGGCACAGTACTATGGATAGGAAGAGCAGAATAAGGGAAAACAATCACCTCCCTCTCCCTGCTGGTCACACCTTTTTTGATGCAGCCCATGATACTGTTAGCCTTCTTGGCCTGCAACGTTACACTGATGTCTCATTTTTATCAAATCAAAATAATTTTTATTTGCTGCATGCAAATGATCAGCATTCTACTGTAATTGATAGAACAAGAAGAAGCATTTCAGTCCTTCTCCAGCCAAACTTCAAAACTGTGCCGCTGCTTCCTGTGACTCACTCATTATAACTTCCACGTAGCTCTGGTCTCTGAATTCAACCAGGGGCTGAGACCAACTAACACTGAAAAGGAAGCTCAGTACATGATAGATAGCATTGCGTTTGCAACAAGGTGAGTGGTAGAATCCAAAATTGGCCAAGATAGTTGTTAATATTGAAAATGAAACAAAAATAAACAAGCAGTAAATAATAATAATAAACAAGCATCAATGTCATTTGTAATTTGACTCCTGGTGACAAGACAGTGGTGACTATTCCTACATTATTTCTAAACAACCTCTTCTTAAAACCTCTAGTGTTATCTTCTCTCCTAGCTGCTTCAAAGCTTCCACTACTTTGTGATAAAAACCACTTTCACTTTAAGGACATTATTTCATGCTTGCTGCCTAGAATAGAGAAAATAGTTAATTAAATTCTCACTGCAGCTGACTTGCACTTACTTCAATATTATCACCTTGCCCTCATTCTGTTTCCTTTGAATTCTAGAATTCATTACTTTCAAAACTTCTTCACATCTCACCATTTCCTAAACTACCTTCCATTTTGTCAGTTAAATTGCTTAGACATTGTTCCCCTAGACACAACTCCCAAGAAGTGCGATGAAGAAAAGTTAGAAACAATAAGGTTTTACAGTTATTGATAAAGCAATAGGTCAATCTTTTTTCTTTCCTCTGCTGATAATCAGCATCAGTGTACTATGCCACTGCTTATCATTAAGCACAATTAGCAGAAATGCTACAATATTTCTCAGAGAACCGTGCATGTGATACATAATATAAGGTCACACATAGTGCAGATTTATAAAAAAGATTTATATCATTATTAGAGAACATTCACCAATATTAACAATCATTCCCAAAATTCATTCAGATGCTATTTTATGGACTGTTGAAAAGTTACTTTTTACATTCATTCAATTAGCGCTGGTCAATTTCAAAAGATGAACTGGTAACAGATTCTAAATCTACTACAGTCACATATTACATGTCACTAAATATTCACTTTTTTGGTACATATAAATCTTCAAGTGTGATATGAACTTAATCTTAACTGTGAATCTGTTTTTTCCTTTTGTGTGATAGTCTATCCCTATTTTATATGTTATTTGATCCAGTGTGAGACTTTATGCAGTTTTGAATCTCTGCACACAGTAGCACCATCACTCTATTTCTACCAAATCAAAGCAGCATACCTATGAAAATATGACCCATGTCATCAGAAACACATCCAAATGAAATGAAATGTTACAATTCCACTTGCTGCACTAAAGAACTAAAAGTTACAATTTTTCAGGAGAAAATTAACAATTTTCTATGGCATGATTATAGATTTGTTATTTACAACACTTACAACAGAAGTTGTGTGGATAATGAATTCCACAGTTCAAACATACGCTGTGCTATTTGCTGCAAAAAGCTGTAATTTTACTCTTTCCCACAGTTTTAAAAATATTCACGGGATAGTTTTTCAGTGACATATTTTCTCCATCATCTTCTGCCTTTAACATCATGTTAAGTACAAGGCCTTGCCTTTAATATTAAGATACTATTATTAATATTAATAGCAGAAAGACAGTTACTACTTTTCTTATAAAATTCCATTGATATAATGAGCTCTCAAATGAAATGTGGCATATTTTGTATGATCAGATTTTCAGTGAGTTCTTGTACTTTAATGGGAAAATTCTTGTCTGTTTTTTCTTCACAGGCATAACTTTATCATGTACGAAAAAAGCAGAAAGCACTACTAGCTCAGAAACTTTCCATGCTGTAGTTGCCTTGTAGCCAGAAAAATAATGAAATACAATAACACAGTTGTCTCAGTCATACATTCTCAAACATTTACTTCCCTTGCTTACTCCAGCCTCTATCTGAAACAGGATGGTAGGTTGGATAAATGTTTATCTTGATCCAGTACAACCTTTTCAATGTATTATTATTCTTTAGCTGAAATAGTGACTTGCAAAGTTGTAACATGAATTTCTCTGAGGGATCTTTTATATAGAAACTCCATTTGCCCAGTAACCACCAGACTTTGTCTGCATTTTGATCTGCAACAGAATACTTAATGAAATCAGCTTGAGCAATCATCAGTATACTTTAT